CTTCCCTCAGACTTTACAAGTCCACAACTCCCGAATTTAAAGTGATTAAATCTCTCTGTTTTGCTTGTATTAGGGCTGGGTGGTGTTTTTTGTAAGTGAAAACACAAATACTTTTGAATCCAAGCCATAAAGAATTCAAAATATCTATCCTGTTTCAAAATAACATTGCATCTTAGTAATTGGCTAAGCTATTAAAAAAGAAAAGCAATTACATTAACTGGATGTTTCAGCTGAAATATTTTTTACTGCTCTCCTGCAGTCAGAAGGTACTTGGGAACTTCCAGCTCTCGTGTTGGTGCACGGATTTACGCCACCGGGTGGACAAGCACTGGATTTGCAACTTCAGGAACAGTTCGTTAAGACCGCACCAGGCGGCTCATTTCAGTAACTACAGAGCAGCGCTTGAACCAGCTCTGTCGGCTAGAGGACCTGGAGACCCAAGCCCTCTCCTGGAAAGCAGTGACACGACCCTTCCACAGCACCTCTCGGGTTTCTCAGTGTTTCTCCCCTGATCTCACCAGTCAGCACATTTCATCACAGGTACTTTTTTTGTTATTGGAATGAAAGGCCTCCATTAAAACACAGCAACTGTGAGATCCTAACACCTCACACGCTCCTCCCATTGTAGCAGCATTTGACACTTGGGTACTTTCAGGAATTCCAGAGCACACCACCATGAGCTGCTGTGATCTCTAACATCACAGCCAGCCCTCACAACCCTTCTGTTTTTCAGGATTACATACACGTAACTACCTTACCCACACAGCAAAGCAGTAGACATGGAACAGCCCTTGGAAATCTCAGTTTGCTGAAACCCCACTGGGGATTATCACAAAAACTGTGGTAAGGCAGAACTCTGAACGTGCATGCCAGTATCAAAGGGAACTTCATCTGTATTGAAAACCATCACGTAGCAGTGCAGGCAACACTGGCTTCAATTTGTACAAAAAGAAACAAGTTGGTCTTTCTTTACATTTTAGAACTTGACTCAATAACCACTTTACAACTTGAAAACAGACTTTAAACTACTGAACAGTTATGACCTGTACCAAGGGTTACACAGCAGAACAGCCCCAAGGAGGGAGCAAATGTCCTACTTTGTGTGTGGAGTCTGACAACATCAACACAAAACCTCTCCAGAGCTCCCTGGCTTGACTTGCCCAGGAACAAAACCACACACTGGTCACTACACACAGGCCTAATGCACAACTGGCACCTAAAATACAATGCAAGCAAGACTTTTGGAGGGCTCTGCTCAAATTTGTGAAGTGAAAACTTGGTTACAACAAATTTTATTTTTACAAAAATGCTGTACCAAGCATGCCAATAGGAAAACTGGTTCTTTGTCTTAAACCCCGTCAGTCCTTTTTCTGCTGCTGAGCAGCCTGCTTGGCATTGTTGGCCTGCATCTTCTTCAGCCCCTTTTTGTTGTGTTTCTTTGCAAACCTCATGTTCCTCAGAAACTTGGGATCAACCTACAAAAATAAGGAAAAAATTAGTCATGGTGTAGAAGGGACATCCCTAAAAACAAATAGGTATCTAC